CACAGGGCATTACCAGGCTGCAACAGCCTGAACTTTGTCACTGCAAAGTTCTTGAACCTTCAGAATTCAAGCTTAGCTTTTAGATTGTCCACAATCAGTAAAGCGTCAGTGCTCTCAGTACAGCACCTCCACCTCCAATTGCCTGTTCTGTTACAAGGTAACAGTAGTTTGGCCAAATCTATGTTACTAACCCTTAATGTTCACATCCATCATTGTATTATAAACAATACCAAATATTACTTTTAGGCTTAATTTGATATTTGAAGTATAAACCGTTATGATCACAAAAGCCTGGGGGCTGCCATCAGCCTGTCCCAGTTTACACATGCACAAAACAGGTATTATTGGATGTTCTGCAATCTTCACATCTGAACTTTAGCAAAGTGAGCATTTATGAGCAGCTCTATTTACAAATCATGCCAATAAATCCACGTACATGTAAGTAGCTTAACCAAGCTGACTTGCCTCCAAAAGCTCTAGAATCCAGCTTCTTTGGTCTACACAACCATAACTCGCTTGTAGCAAATCCACTTAAATGTACTTCCTTCTCCAGCTTGCATTGCTCCTGCTACTGCATTGTCCTAAACCAGTTTATTCTGCCACAAAAGCTGGCACCATGCTCTGCTTCTATCCCTGTACCTACGCAAACCAGCACAAGAGATAAAGGGGCAGCACTTTATTATCAGGGATCTCCCCAGCTAAGCAGGCAGTAGTAGAACTATTTGTATCTCATTTGCTTTTTGGATACCACTGAAGCTGAAAGTGATAGCTACAACCCTTTGGTTACACCTTTCATCAACAAGACAAGCTGCTTTTGAGAAAAGTAGAACTAAGCCTGAGCTTCGAGACAATTTACATCTGAAAGCAATCGTGCTTTCAGGAAAAACAAAATCTGGCTCTGGAATGGCAAAGCCCCATTTTCCTCCTCAGCCAGCTACTGACACTTCAAAAGCACAAGCTCACAGCTCCAGCACCAAGATGGCCTCTACTGTGTGGTGCCAGCACACAGGGCTGCAGTGCCAGCAAACAGGGCTGCAGTGCCATATGGCAAATCAGATCAGGCTCAAAGCTACCTCAGCAGAAAGTTATTTTTCAGCTGAAGTGAGAAGAGTCTCTTTCACTTGGCATAAAGTAACTCTCAAACTGTTAAAACACAGAAGAGCAGACTACAGCTGACACCCTTTCTGATGCTCTCAGTGTAGCTTAGTGAGTATTTCAGAAGTTTAACTACCAACCAAAATACAACTGTACTCTAAAGCTGAAGTTAAGCTCTAGTTCAATAGCCCTATAGTAGCTGATGAGCTGCTGGAATAAACAGGTCAAAGTCTATTGAAGTGGATTTCAGAGTCTCAGGCCCCATGTAACACTGCTGTGGGAGCAGGTAGGGAATGCAACGCAACCGAGCCATGCAACACCACAGCCTGAAGCTGCTCAAAGTATTCCCTGCTTCAGATCAGGATTCACTTTATCTGACACCTGCCAAACTCAACAAGTTATTGTGAAACTATTTCAACAGATTTCTAGAAGAGGCAAACATCCCTTTGCTATGGCATACGCAGAACAGAGCTGAGTGTGCCAACCTACACGGGGGTCTTTAGAGTCCGGCTGGAAACAAACTGCACATCACTTGACTACGGAGCATCTCCCCAACCTCAGCTGGGAGACTCCATTATTAAGGAACTGGGATATTTAAAAGCCAGAACTCATGAGACACTCTCCAGCTATCTGATGTGTACATTTTCTGTACCAAATAACTCCCTTTTTCAGCGCATACAGATATAACCAGCTTTTAAGATTCAACAAGCAAGTGACAAAACTTTTCCAGTGCACAAAATTGAAAGTCTTCACATGCCCTGTGTGGTAACTCCAGTGAGAGAAAACTCTCTGAAACTAATAACTTGAAACACCTCATAAAGACTTTTGTACCCCTGAAGCCAGGAATTACCAGGGCAGGATGAAGAAAGGTGTCCCTCAATTTTACTAAGCTAGGTTTAGTCACCCCAGACATGGAGGAGGCCTCAATTTCTCAAGCTGCACCACTTTGAGCTCAGTCCCATATCTGAGCTCAAGTTCCTCACTGTTGCAACTCGAGCTGTGCTCACAGGCAGGCTCAGCTCACTGCCAACCGAGTCACCTTGCACTTCTCGCTGTGTGGTAACTCTAGAGGGAAAGCTGAAGGTGACTAACCTAGTCCCAGGCAGGGAGAGTAAACAGGCAAAAACTCCATGGGCCACACAAGCAAGGTAGCTGCAAATTCATTTCCTAATTGCCTGCACATGAATTCAAGCCTTGCAGGGCTGCAGCATTCATGCACAGGCCCTTCACAGCTGCAGTGGAACTGCTATTTTGGTACTGGACACTATGTTGACCAGAGGAACCACCAGCAGTGTGCTGACACTATCATCCACCTGTGCTCTTTCTGCATGCAAGAGCTCACATAGATGCATACACACTACAACCATTTGTAGAGAATAGCTTAAATGTACAAGAACTTCAGGCTGGTCAGGAGAAGCAGCTCTCCACAGAGATGAGAGCCCACCAGAAAACAGTGCCAAACAGCTACTAGATGGCAGGAACTGTGAACAAAGCTTGTCAGAGGACCATAACTTACCTGTTCTGTAGCTGTTGGACAGTAATATACTAATAGCAGAGTTGTAAATATATTTATTAACAGTCCAATGATGGTGATCAGATTCGGGGCAATCCAGGCTGGAACTCTTCCAACTAACCATTCCCAGTAACCCTGCATTAGGGGTTCAAGCAGGGATCGTCCAGCACTCTGATACTTGTGTTCTTCTAACCGTTTCAGCTGGTGCTTTGACAAGGGGGGTGTGGGCAGCTGAACCAGTTTGCTCAACACACAGCCAGCAGCAGGACCATGACTGCAGCCCACGGGGGACTCCAGGTGCGACTCCCCACATCGCCTCTTTATGCTTCGGTGCCCACTCATGGGTTGGGCGGCCTCAGAACTCTTATGTGGCAGGTAGCAGCTGTTACGGAGAATCATAAGATCCTGCAACATAAAAAGATGAGACACACTGAAGGTGAAGAGCACAAATGAGATTAAGATTACAGAATGGTTTGGTTTGGAAAGGACTTTAAGATGATCCAGGTCCAACTCGTTGCCATGGGCAGGGACACCTCACACTAAATCATGTCAACCAAGGCCTCATCCAACCTGGACTTGAACACTGCCAGGAATGGAGTATTCACCACTTCTCTGGGCAACCCATTCCAGTGCCTCACCACTCTCACAGGGAAGAACTTCTTCCTTATATCTAACCTGAACTTACCCTGTTTCAGTTTAAACCCATCACCCCTTGTCCTATCACTACAGTCCCTGATGAAGAGTGCCTCTCCAGCATCCTTGTAGGTCCCCTTCAGATATCAAAAGTTTCTAGGTGCTGCTCTAAGAAGCATTTTGTTTCCCATCAGCAAACCAAGAAGATTCTGTAAGAAAATAAAGGTATTTGGAGAATAGCTGAGGGACAAACTGGAAGCAAGTCTTCTCAACACAGTTATAAAATGGTTAAGTTGCCCTTGTTTACTTCCCTTGCTGCCTACTGAAGCAAAGAGCCTGCAGCCACCAGTGTATGTTTCAGCAGCAGCAGAAGCTTACACCACACCACTGCCTTATGTTACAGGCTAAGGCAGTCAGCCCCTCACATCTCTCTCATAGGTGGTACGTAACAGACCTGCACTACTTAGGTTATGAACTGACAGCACTAGAACCAGTACAAACACAAAGAAGTCTTAAGGTAACTTGGTTTGGGGCAGCTCTACCTCTTTGGTGAAGCTGAACAACCACCTAAAGCCAGCTCTAAGCATCTTTCTCAGATCACTCTTCCTCATTTCAGTTCTGCTGGGACTTTTCTTCCCCAAATTAACCCACTTCAGAAGAAAGCTCACTGTACATTCAACTTTCAAGATAGGCAAGAAACACACAGGCACTAAATATCTTTAGTTGGTTAAAGACAGCCTAGAGGCATCAGCATGAGACAACCGTGAAAAGAAAGCACAGGGTCAGGACCAGCACTCCCAGTGCAAACAAGGCCCCTCGCAATGTTCCACCTCCCTCAAAGGCAGGGGACCAGAAACACATAACCCTCCACATGAACTAGAGGAGATGCAGCACAGAAAGGAGACCGAAATGGAAGGTTTGCTGTTTATCTACAGGAGCAAACCAGAGAAAAAGCTTAGTTGTAAAGTGTAGCAGAACAAAGGTAGGGAGGGGATGATGACAGCTAAAGCCAACAGCAATGCATGTAGCCAGTAAGAAAAACAAGCAGTGCAAATCAAAGGTCAATACTGGCATAAGAACAAGTACTCCCATTTCCAGTCTCCACAGGTTAATTAAGGCAATTTCAAGCAGTGAAAGGCCAGTCTCAGAGAGCCCTGTCAGTGGGAGGAGAGGAGAAAGCAAACAGACAGGGCCTCATTTGGGCAGGACCTCGATAAGTTCAGAGCAGCAGACCTGGACCTCCTCATTTATCAAGAAACCAGGCTTAGTCAGCGAGGAGGTCCCTGCAGGCGTTGTCCTGGATGACCAGAAAGAAGTTTCAATGCAGAAAACGATACGCTTTTCCTCTCTGCCCGAGAGGCTGCCCCCCCCCCAGGGGAGGCACCTCCAGAGCCAGGAGAGAAAACAACCAAAAACCGCCTGGTCTTCCAACACAAACAACCCCCCAGAGCCCGGCTTCCGCAGGACTTTCACCCGGGCCTGCCCGCTGCCGGCAAACACCCGGGGCAGGGGAGGGAGGGTAAAGGCACCCCTCGGCCCAACCAAACGCTTCGCTCCCCACCCAGAGCAGGCAACGCCGGGGACCCCAGGACCCACCAGCCCCCAGGCCGGGTGAGGGTACCCCGGCCCAGCCCTCAGCATAGGCCCAGGCTCGACCTCAAGGACCACCCCCCCGCACCACACACAACAACCCCTGTCCGTAAGGGGCCCGGCAGGAGCGCGCAGAGCCGACAGGACGGACCCGTCCCCGGTATCCCGCCCGCCACGGTGAAGAACCCACCATTTACCTCAGCCTCCCCGCACCGGGCGGCGCTTTTACGCCCCTTTTGCGACAGCCGGAAAGGAGGTGGGCGGGGCCCGGAGGGGAGGGGCGGGGCGAGGACGGCGCGGGAGCCGCTGAGGTAAAGTGGGTGGGGGGATGAGGGGGTGTCACCGAGCGCGGCATTGCCGGTAACACACACACCGTCCGGTCCTCCCCTCAGCGACCCTCCGGTCTCCTTTCGCCTCCCCGTCACCCTCTCAGCGACCCTCCCGTGTCCCCCGGTCTCACCCCTGGGAGCGTTCCGAAAGACCCTCAGTTACCTCAGGCGTCCCGTTCCCCCCCCCCGGCCAGCCCTAGTGCCCTCCATCGCTCTCCCTGCTGCCCCGCTGATCGCCAACCACCATCGCTCTGCCCCGTTGAGCCCTCAGACCTCCCCTTCCCCTCTCCATGGCCCATTCCTGCCCAGCTCCTTTCAACCTGCCCTCCGGCCCGGTCCCTTCCCTGTCCCCTGTGCCTCCAGTCCCTCCTTAAGACCTTGCAGTAACTTCAATTCCCCAGCTAAAATGCAGAAAACCATCTCCCGTGCTCTGCTTCGAATACTCACGGAGTTTGAGCTGCTTTTCTTAGGTTAATGAGGTCGCACTGACAGGTAGCATGTGCTGGACACCGAGCTCCTCAGGCAGCCGCAGGGACAGGCTGCTATCGCCCTTGTGTGCCAGGTTTCCATACATCCTTATGTCGTGCTATCTTGTGCCTGGCTCTGCCTGGTTTTGCTGCTGTGCCATCCTGCTGCTGAGTAACAGGGGCTTAGTGAGGGCTTGAAGATCCTCGCTTCGACACTCTGGAAGCTCTCCTCCATATCCAAAAGATTTAATAGCAACTTTTGGGGTGTTTGTACCGAGAAAACACTCAGAATGAGTCATCTGTCCCTGCCGTGCAGTGGGAACAGCAAAGGTGACACATTTCCTACTCTCTTACTCGTAGTAATGAGGATTAAACCACGTTTAACTGTTGTTCGTCAGTTTAACCCTGCCACTAAATTGTGCAGATGAACACGTTTAATCCCCATCCAACCTTGGCGTTTACCTCGGAGTGCACACCACAGATTGTGTTCTCATTGTTCCTTCAGCAGTGGCTGGAGTGAGAAAGGATATCCCTTTGTGCAGCTTTATCTCTGCCTGTGCAATCAGGGTATCAGGGGTAATGTAGACATTTCCCTTTCCCCCACACCCTTTAACTATCTTTCCAGCATTCTCATTCTCACTGAGAGTAACTTTGTGCTGTTAATGGGCTTGGCCACCTCCAGTTTCCATTGCACATGCCCCAGCGTGTGCAGGATGCTGCTGCACACTTCCTGTGTTTCAAGAAAAACCTCAGACATGGTTAAAATCTGCTTCCTTGACTTCCTCTTGATGGTGGTTTGATAATGTCGATCTGTGATACTCAATCTGGGGCTTAAAAACGCCCTTAGGACACCAAAGTGGTGTATTGCAAATTGGGGCCAGGCACTGCTGTTGGCAAGGAACCTGTGACAAAACCAAGGAGGTTGAGTGTGTTTTCTGCCTAGCTCTCAAAAACAATAGGACAGGATGAGGAGTTAATAATCATTTCAGGAGCTTCCAACTGGCAAATCACAAGGCAGTTCCATCCTGCCTCCCTGGGATTTGGGATGCTTCTCGATGTGCCTGTGCTTGCCCAGAGCCCTGCAGTGCCTGGGTGTGTCTGCAGCAGTGTGAATTTGGACAGCCTGGGGCAGATGGTGCCATAAATGTACCTGGTGCTTTGCAGGGACCAAAGCTTGTGTTTGGTACATACAGTCTGCCCTCATGAGAGTGTGAAACAGACTTGATTTCACTGAGACAACTTAAACAGGAAGGAAGGTGATGGGAGAGGATAAGAATTTAGGGAAGATCTTAGAATCATAGAATCACAGAATAGTTCGGGTTGGAAAGGACCTTAAGATCATCCAGTTCCAACCCCCCTGCCATGGGCAGGGACACCTCACACTAAACCTGGCACCCAAGGCCTCATCCAACCTGGCCTTGAACACTGCCAGGGATGGAGCATTCACAACCTCCCTGGGCAACCCATTCCAGTGCCTCAGCACCCTAACAGGAAAGAATTTCCTCCTTATATCCAATCTAAACTTCCCCTGTTTAAGTTTTAACCCGTTACCCCTTGTCCTGTCACTACAGTCCCTAATGAAGAGTCTGTCCCCAGCATCCCTATAGGCCCTCTTCAGATACTGGAAGCTGCTCTGAGGTCTCCACGCAGCTTCTCTTCTCCAGGCTGAACAGCCCCAACTTTCTCAGCCTAGCTCTTGACAGAGCTAAGAAATTTAGTAGAGAAAAATGTACAGAAGAGTTTTAAGTGCAAGGAGAGTGTGTCAGGGGGTTGTGTTGTGAAAGTAAGAGGATCAGAGCTGCAGTTCTCTGACAGAGCCCAAACCAGCTCTAATCTTGGAGCTGGGGGGACGTACCAGCCTGCAGCTACATTCACAGGGAGGAGCTGTGCCTCACCAGAGCTCTCAGGCTACAGCCAAAGCAACCTCACTGCTCTTTAACCTGACCACATGAAAACCACCATAATTTGTGTGCAGGCCTTAGCTCTGGGCTAAGTGACAGCTTGGCTCACAGAGGTGCTCGGTCTTGACTCAGCGAGAGCTTCCCTGCAGCAGGGCTTGCTCTGGAACAGACCTTGCCTGCATGGACACATCCATCTTGTAACAAGAGCAATATCCAGGAGGGAAATTAGGAATAGCTGTTCTGCTTTACTTGAAAGCTTCTCACTTCAAGTTAAATCTTTGTGTAGACAAGTCCTATAAATCAAAGTCTTAAGCCCTGTTTCCCTGCATTTCCACCATCCCACCACACCCCAGCTTCACTCCTTAAACCACTTGGAATGCAGGAAAACACTGTGTCAGGCCAACATCTAACCCAGCCAGTCAGTCAGCAGCAGTGACTAAGAGAAGGTGGAAAGGAGAAGAACTACAATAGAGTAAGAGGTATCCTGATTATTTTCCTTTATATCTCAAAGATTTAGGAAAAAAATGAAGCAAATGTGGAACTTCAGCAGAAAGATGACTCTCGATTCCCCTTGAGGCAACACTCCTTTCAATGCCCTTGTTCTCAGGTATGTGGCATACTGTTTGGTTGTTTAGGTTGTTAATTGGGTACTATTAACATTTAAATGCTAAAGGAAAAGTACAGTCTAAGCTCAGACTGACTGCTTAGAGTTTTGAACTGCGTGCCTAGGCATGCAACATCTGCAGCAAAGAATGCCGAGCAAGATCCGCATTTCCTGTCCAAATTCCCAATTTATTCACACAAGATTGTGAAGTTACATTCATTACTATTTTTACTGCATTACAGTCTCAAAATGAAACTCAGCATTAGAGGGTAAATGTTATGCTTAGGTAAAAATGAAAGCCCAAGGGTAAGAAAGCCAGCAACTAATTCTGTCATTCAGTACATCTGTTAGTCTTGGTGCTTCCTATCTCTTTCTTCCTTTTCTCTGTCTCTCACACCTCAGGCAGTGCCTACCTCCTGAAGCCTCTCAGTGCTGCACTCCTTGTTCTGGCACAGTATCATTTTGCTTTTCTCACATACTGTTTGATCTTGGCTTGGATGACCTTGGATCTGCAGTCTTTGTTATTTGCTCTTCCCCTTTGTCCTATTTTAAATTCCATTTACAGTCTCCAGATTCAACTGTGCTTAAACACTTTCTGCACTATTCTCCCCAGTGTCAGAGTCAGGGAATGCCACCAGTAAAATGGCATAAAACACAAGAAGAAAAGCCTGAGGCGGGATCTCATCAGTGTGGGAGGCTCAGATGGGATCTCATCTCCTTACCTGAAGGGAGGGTGCAAAGCAGAAAGAGCTAGGCTCTTCTCAGTGGTGCTCAGTGCCAGGACCAGCAGCAGTGGGCACAGATGGAAGCAGAGGTAGTTGTGTCTGATCATCAGGAAACACTTTTTCATTGTGAGGATGGCTGGGCACTGGCCCAGCTTGCCTAGAGAGGCTGTGCTATCTCCATCCTTGGGAGATACTCCAAAGCCATGCTGCACAACTGGCTCTGGGTGGCCCTCCTTGAGCAGGCAGTTGGACAAGATGACCTCCAGAGGCCCTGTCCCACCTCAGCTGTTCTGGGGTTCTGAAATCAGCTCAGTTTAACTTTGTATTTGAAGCTAATAGTAAATTACTTCCCTGTAGCAGCAGGAGCAGAGAGGAGTCACAGCTCTCTCTGTGTGAGCTCACCAGGGTGACACAGCTGCACATTATTGCTCTGACAGAACTGGAGCTGTAGACACAAAACAGCTGTCAGGCTGGGACTCATGGAAGTGCTCTAGTGAGACAAAGGGGTACAAAATCACAAAATAGAATATAGAAACCTTTAGAATTAGTTTTAAGTAATGTTAAGTTTGATGGCTTTGTAACAGTAGCAATGGAAAATTACTGAGGGGCATGATACACAGAGAAAAAATAGAGTGCAGCTAGAGAACATACTGAGAATTCTCACAAGATAAATCGTTATAGTTGGCATAGTTTTAAGAAGAACAGTCTAGAAGAACAGGACACAGGGATAAGGAGTATCTGGGAACCACAGGTGTCTAGGGTGGGCTACATTTAAACTAACAAGTAGGAGGATAGGAGGATTATTATGTCTCTGGTGCTAACGAACCAATTAAACTGGTATGAGCATCTACTGCGCGTGCTTCAGAGGCTGCCAGAAGTGATGAAGATCGTTGGAAGAAGTAAAGGACCCTCAGAGACCACCACCACAATTCTGTACACATGCAGGGAACTGTCTGGAAACTGATGTAATCCATCCGTAGCCTCATGAATATGTATGTATGCCCAGTGGCTATATAAGGACGGCTTGTGTAGCAATAGGGAGGCACGTGTTAGGAGGAGCTATGCCCCATGTCTCCCGGTGCCACAATAAAGAATACCTGTTTGTCAGCTTGAAAACTTCGCTGGCAAGCTTGTTCCTGGAGTTTTCTCCGAATCACTAGTACAGAGCCATTTCACTCCATTGGAAATGCACCTTTTCCTCCCACCTGTAGAAACAAAGGTGTAGTTGCTATGCTGTCACCAGGAGTAAGCAGGCCTTGGGTTTGAAGGTTGTGGCTGGTAGCACTCAGCTCATAGATAATCCGTGAGTTTATTGCAGTGATGCTTATAACAGATGTTGAGTCACACGGAATGACAGGGAGTGACTGAGTGCAGATACTAAAGTAATTTTAGGTCATTTCCTCCACGTCTGCCCAGTTGGTTGTTAATAGAAGTTGGAGGCACTACAGCAGCCACTATCAGTTCAACTGTCACTACTGGGACGCGTTCTCCATCAGCCCCACTAATTCTACCATGGTGTTATGACATAAAGGTAAGAAGAAAATAGAGTCAGTTATTCACAATGACTCACTTGACCTTATTCTGGCAGCAACAAATGCTGAGACACATAGTAAAGTGACAGCACTAGTTTCTTTTCTCACGCTGTTCTAAGATTTTCAGAATTAACATTTCCAGATGTTATTTATGATTGTTTCTGTGCTGTGAAGTCAAATGTTCACTCTGTGTTTGCAGGCTAGGACTGAGAGCAAAATCAACTTACTGTACTTGCCTCAAGAACAGCAAAACCTTTGAGAAATCTTAGTAAACCTTTGGATTTGATTCCTTACAGTGCTCAGAGTTAGACACCAGTGTTGAAATGTGGTGGTTTCAGCAAGGCCTCTCGTTCTTGCCCATGGCTTTGGTTGTGTGGTCAGCTGCATCTTTTGTGTTCTCATACATTACTGCAATCATCCTACACCACGTGGACCCTGTGGTGCCCTACATCAGGTCAGTAACATTCATCCTGTGTCACAGTATTGACTCCTCCTCTCAATTCCTCCCCAACTCCAGACCCTAAACAGCAGTTCTTGCCTGACTGCTCCAGTTCTAAAGCTACTGGCTGTTAATAGTTATTTGTGTATAACTCTATTTTGATGCAGAATACTACCCTTTAAGCTGTGGCTCTGTAAACACAGCCTTAAAATGATGATGAACAAAAAAACAGGGGTGCATCTCCAGCTCTGTCCAAAGCATCTTGCTGTTGCACCAATAAACATGTGCTAAGATCTGTATTCCCAGCTGCATTGCATCAAAGCTGTACATTTAACTGTAGTTTTGGTCTTTCAGTTTTCCAGAGTCTTAATTTCCCCAGTTTTAATACTCTTCATTCACCTGTTACGGAATGGAGATCAATACAAAAGGTATAGCTACACCAAGTATGTTCATTCCTTGTCCTAAGTGTAGCATGTTTTCACCATGCTTATTTCTGCAGCTCTGGAAACTAATGAAGTATAGTTTGAACAATGAAAAATCCAGTGAAAAAAGGATTTTTTTCCCATAAACCTCTTTCCTAGACTGAAATAAGTATTTTTGTTATAGATAGATACATGTCATTCCATTTATCTCTTCCAGTGACACGGGGACAACACCACCTGAGAGATGCTTATTTGGGATAATGCTAAATATTTCAGCTTTCTTGGGTGAGTACAGAAAGCTGCCCTGGGTGAACTGCAACAGTTGTGGAGTGCACAGAGCTTTAAACCACTTTCTTTCCTTACTCAGATCATTAAACAGCCCATTATTCACAGTCAAAACCTGAATTCTAAGCAATTAATCTTCATTCTCTTCAGATTCAGAGGGGAAGTGTTTGTCAGGGATGTTACCCACATCCAGCATGACAACTGCAGAGTCCAGAAGGCTAAAAATGCACTTACAATCCCAACAGAGTAGTAAAAGAAACAGAAATCCAAATCCAAGGCAGTCACCTTGTGCTGTGATTGCAGAGAAAGGGAAGAGCAACCTGGTATGTCTTTCAAATGAGAGAACAGAAAAATGCAGCGTTGACCTGTTTGCCATGATATTATTTCAGTTTTACCTTCCAGATTCCTAGCTTTCCCATTTCAGGCTACTGTAAGACTGTCTTTGCATTATAAATAGCTGCCTCTGTCACTCAGCATCTCCCCAGTTCAAACAGGACAGTGTGTTCCTCACATGAATATCTCACTGGTCTGGTTTCTTTGTTAACAGGTATGGCTACCATGTATGTCCGCTACAAACAAGTTCATGCTTTGAATCCAGAGAGATCCAGGATCCTGAAGCTTAACAAGATCGGCCTCATCCTAGGCCTGATGAGCTGCTTTGGACTTTGCATCATTGCAAATTTCCAGGTTGGTGCTTTGCCTGCAGTGTTCTGGGGCAAACCTGGTTTATATCAAATTCCCTCCAGAAAACTGTTAGAAAACCCCAAAGTTTGGTTTATAATTTCTCACTTATTTGCTTTATCCACTGGGACAATTCAGAACCCCACAAGTTTGGCAAGAAAGCAAACAACAAACTCACCTTGGGTCTCCTTATAGGAGCTTTGAAAGTTCCAGATTCAAAGGCTCCAACTATAGCATATATATTGCCTCAAGAGAATCAGGTATCAAATACTAAAAACTTGTTACAACTGCAAGTAAAACAAAAGCACCCAACCTCACCAAGATTCCAGCCCTGAAAAATCTGCCCTTTTAGGTGTATTTTCCTTCAAATTTGTGCAATGAAGGTTACTGTAGTGTCAACCCCCTCCTGAATTTCTCCATCCCAGTGTCCCTTACTTTGTTTTTCTCCCGAGTACTTCCCACCTCCTCCTCCAAAACATAATCTGATATTCACACACCATCAGCAGGACCACATTCTGCATCATTGGCTGTTACATGCAGGGCAGTTGTACAGTTACCAGCCTCACTTCCTTAATCACCTGCTGGATTTGGGGGCTCTGTAGTGCTGCCTTTAGCCACTACAGGCTGCAGTGTCACCTTGCTCTCCTGCTGGATTAGGGCCAGGGAAAAGCAAAGAGGAAGAGCTCCTGGAAAGCTCCACCCTTTTCCCTGCTTTTCCCCTACCACAGCTCTCCAAGTGCTTCAGCAGCCCCTGCAGCTCTTGTAACTGCCCATAGTTAAGATGAGCTGTAACTTAGCCCCAAGAGCTTAACAAAAGCAACAGGGGGCTGCAGGTGATGGCTTCCAGCTGACTTTGTACAGGGTTTCCAAGAAAAATCTCCTCAATAACAGCATGTTCCACAACTGCTTAGCTTGGGCTGTGAGAAGGTAATGGAGAGGGTGGAATGCCAAAAGTTTACAGAGGAAAGAGTTCTCAGAGTCTAAAACAAAAGCAGGTTCTGTTACAAGCAGTGCTTTCCTTCCCTAGAAATGTGTTCTGTACTACATCCATGTGGTTGGAGCCTGCCTGACATTTGGAGTAGGGGCCATTTACATGCTGGTTCAAACTATCCTGTCCTACCTGATGCAGCCAGAGCTTCACAGCAAGGACATCTTCTGGATCCGTCTGACCGTGTCACTCTGGTGCTGGTCAAGCATCGTGAGCAGTATCCTTTACTGTGCTGCAAAGCAGCCTTTACAGATGACAGTGTTTGTACCTAGATGAATTTAACCTCCCAACAGGGAAGGCTGGGCCGCAGAAGGCCTGTTCTGTTCACACATACATCTTGTACCACAATATCTGTTCATAGTCTGGGAACTTAGGAAGAAAGGAACCATCAGGTTAAGCCCACAAGTGAGACTGGGTAGTAAGAATAGGTAAGAGGGGTGGTTACCACCCTTCCTCCTCTCCTTCTGCACACCATAGATTGCAAAATGGCAAAAATGAGAGTTTATCACAGGGGTTTGCCTGCAGATTAGGACATAGGGAGAAAGGGAAGTGGACTAAAGAGATGAGTGGTTTTAATGGGGGAGAAGGGGAGGAAGCCAGGTAAGAAATAAAAGTGTCTGTTCCCTGGTGACAGAGATGCAGCAACTTATAGTTGAATACCACTAAAAGAGAAGTACAGATGTAGCACAAGAGAAAATACACTACCCTGGCCACACGCAGCAGTGCTGCAATGCCAGCTGGCTCCCAGAGCAGTGCTGGCATTTGTCAGAGAGACAGTTCAGGAACATATTGGCGAGGTTGATCCAGAAGATATATTTCACCTCTCATCTCCTCCCCTACCCATCCTACAGTTCAAAAGACATGATGTTTCTGACTGGCATTCCCTACAACCTTCCCTCAGCTCTGGAATCCACCATCTCCCTTAACTCTGAATTCAGAGCACTGAAGGGAGCTGTGGGTTTTACAGAAACATGGACAAATCCATGCAGAAGTAGAAGCCTTTTTTCTTGGTCAGAATCATTTAACCATCAGGGCACTGAATCACTGCAATTCCTCTGCTCATCCCAATGGACCTAAACATTGTAGTTTGAAAGTTAGGACTCAGTTTTCTGTCAAACAGGACAACACTAAAGCTTTCAAATTCACATCCCAAAGACAGTAACTCAGTGCAGAAGTCAGTTAAATCCTGTTCCTTCTGCAGCTGAATCAAGGCCACTAGTTTAATCCAATTCTGCTTATTTCCCAGGCTGGCAGCCAAAATTAACACTAAATCATATGGTCCATTTCCCAGTGATGGATCATCTCACTGGGCTTCCATTCCTGCTAATCCAAGATTATACAGCCTGAACTAGTCAGATGAGAGGCAATAGTGAGGCACAGGCTGGTTAGCTTTAGAAGCAAGAAGGGCCCTTATGAGCTGAGGAGGCTTGACACAGAGCAAGGAGATGTGTGAGATGGAGGACTGCCATCCCAAGCAGAAATTTGTGGTGGTAGAAAAGAACAAGATTGTCAACTCTGAAATATCAGGAGCCAGATATGACTGGGGAGAGTGGAACGGAACAATACGATCTGCTGCAAGATAAGAGCCTTTTACAGATGCCCAAAACCCACAAACCCCAAATCTATAGAGGTTTTCTGAACTGGTGTGGTCTAACCAAAATGAGAAGGAAGTAACGCTGTAGAAATAATTATATGTTCATAGAAAGTATGGAAGGGAAAGAAAAGGGAAGATGTCAGAGTATCTTCTACATTAACAGTTCATAATGTAATAAGGGAGATAATGGTAACAGAGAGAAGTCAGTGGCCATGGGTGAAATAGTTGTAACTGGTACTGGAAGACAGAATGAAATGTACATCTTGTACCAGCAGCAGTGTGGCAGCAGGGCCAGGGCAGGAATTGTGCCCCTGTACTAGGGGGGGATTTAAGTCTGGAGCAGAGAAGGCTCAGGGGGACCTTATCTCTCCCTCCAACTGCCTGGCAGGAGGATGGAGCCAGGAGGGGCTGGGCTCTGCTCCCAAGGAACAAGGGATGGGACAAGAGGAAACGGCCTCAAGCTGCACCAGGGCAGGTTTAGATGGAGCTGAGGAACAATTACTTCACCAAAATGGCTGTCAAGCACTGGAACAGGCTGTTGAGGGAAGTGGTGGAATCACTATCCCTGAAGGGATTTAAAAGACTTGATGCTTTGGGACATGGGTTAGTGGTGGCCTTGACAGTGCTGGAGGCACAGTTGGACTTGATCATCTTGAAGATGATGTCCAACCTAAATGATTCCATAAAAATAGCCCTGATCCTCTGGAGTGAAGCAGCAGAATGGCCAGCACAGAAGGAGCAAAGCAGTCAGTTGCCTCCTGTGATGAGGGGAGGGTGGGAGCCAGTTATTTGTGTACCAGGCTGATTGAATCCTTTCAGTTGCAGCAGTGACTCAGGCAGGTAACTAACAGCTACTAAAGGTGTACATTTGAATTAGCAGGGAATTGGGTATTTTGCATTCAGGTTGGTAACCAGAGCTCCCTGGATCACTCAGCCATTTTTTAAGAAGCTTTGGAAGTCTAAAGCCCTGTTTGTGTCAGGAAGTTTAGCCTTGTTCACCACCAGAATTAACCTTCCACAGCTGGAGGCTCTTGATGCTTAATCTCATTCATGATTGAAGAAAATAATAGCTTAATCCTGTGAGAATCAGATGTTCTATAACTGAATGCTCCAGGTTTCATTGGTGAAGAAAGGTAAGCTGATGTAGCTCCCCCTTCCCTCTGTAAGACGTTGGAAAAGTGGCATCTCTAGAGCGAGCCCAGGGCTCTGATCAAGTGAGGAATCCTTGTCATGGGGGGGGTTTCCTTGGCAGTGGACCCAAAGCAGTTATCAAACCTGGTGTGAACCAAGAGGCAAACAGAAAAGCTGACAACCCGCTCTGCTTGAAGTAATGCAGTGCTCCCAAATACCAGGAATTCCAGGTGGATGAGAAGCTGAAAAGCAGTCACAGAAAGAGGCACTCTTAGCCTGGAAAATACCTCTGAAACTAAACCAAAATACCAAGTATTCACATTTGATCATCGTTTAAGTGCTTTCATAAGGATGCTGTGTGTGACCAAGGAGGTGAAACAAGATACAGAGAACAAAGGTAATGGGTTTAGACTAGAATGAACCTTTTCATGCAACAGGAGGTTAGTTGGAGCAACCTGCAAGTGGAAGGGGATGATGTGAAGCAGTTCCTGGCACCTTTCTCTTCATTATCCTCTGGAGACCTGTGGAAAACATGCTGGAATCTCATTCCAGCCTCAGCCTGACACAATCCAGGGCAGAGTTGGAAATGTCTCATTGCTCATTCCTGGCCTTGAATCTTCCTTAACGTGTTTCTCCACAGTGTTTGTGTCCTCAGTTGTCTTATACAGTGGCCTGTATGGAACAAATCTCGTGCAGAAGTTGCACTGGGACCCACAGGAAAAAGTAAGTGATTGAGTGGAGAAACCAAAGCCAGAACAAAATCCCTCTCCATTTTCAGATGCATTGGGGCATTTACTGCAGTTGTGTTCACACCCCAGCTTGGTTGGGGTGAAGCAGAGCTCCTGCTGCTGCCTGGTGGAGGCAGGAGGTGAAGGTGGCCACAGGGCACTGCCACTGAAGTGGGAAGTGCTGGGCAGAGAGAGATCCTGGGTGTGACAGAGAAAGGCCATGTGGGTCTTCACAGCTCTGCTGGTCTCTCTGACCCTCCTTATCCTCTCAAAGCACTGCTGGAGGTGCAGCAGGAACTGCAGGCTGGTTCTGAGGGCTTTTCCCAGCCCTCCCTTTGTTTAAAGCATAAGGAGCCTCTCGGAGATCTGTGGACAACCAAAAGAGAGCTTTGAACCTCACCTTTATAATGTGGTTTTGCATTGGGCATGCTCTGCATTGAGCCTGCAGGTGTTAGCAGATTCCCAGTGGGGCCATCCCAATCATGTGGAGCAGCCATTTCCTGGTCATTCTCTTTCTTCTACTCCAGGCTCTGGACACACCAAGTTTTGCTCTCCAAGGAGAGAAAAAGGGAGCAGTCGTGGTTGTGGGATGTCATATGTGGGAGCCATCTTTGTGCCATTGCAGGTTCAAGAGAAGGTTTTCACACTTGATTTTTTTTCCTCCTCCTGCTATCACACAGGGCTACACAGCTCACATCATCAGCACTGTCTCAGAGTGGTCACTGGCATTCTCCTTCCTCAGCTTTTTCCTCACCTACATCCGAGACTTTCAGGTAAAACAAAGTTCTTGTTACGTGCTCTGGTTCTCCAAGCTCTGAACAGCCCAACATGATGCAAGAGTGGTTTGGGTTGGAAGGCACCTTAAGGCTCACCCAGCTCCAACCCCTGCCATGGGCAGGGACCCCTTCCACTGGAGCAGCTTGCTCCAAGCCCCTGTGTCCAACCTGGCCTTGAGCACTGCCAGGGATGGGGCAGCCACAGCTTCTCTGGGCACCCTGTGCCAGCGCCTCAGCACCCTCACAGGGAAGAGCTTCTGCCTAAGAGCTCAGCTCAGTCTCCCCTCGGGCAGGTTCAAACCATTCCCCTTGGCCTGTCCCTACATCCCTTGTCCCAAGCCCCTCTCCAGGTTTCCTGCAGCCCCTTTAGGCACTGGAGCTGCTCTAAGGTCTCCCCTTCAGGAGCCTTCTCTTCTCCAGGCTGCCCCAGCCCAGCTCTCTCAGCCCGGCTCCAGAGCAGAGCTGCTCCAGCCCTCGCAGCATCTCCATGGCCTCCTCTGGCCTCGCTCCAACAGCTCCACGTCCCCCGTGTGCTGTAGCCCCAGAGCTGCATCAGGACTGCATGGGGGGTCTCCCCAGAGCACAGCAGAGGGGCAGGATCCCCTCCCTGAGCTGCTGCTCTCTCTGGGGGTGCACCCAGCACACAAGCTCTGGAGCTCGTGGCTCTGGAGCTGATCTGCATTTTGGTGTTCCATGGATCCTGAAGCAGCCCTGTCCCTGTGCCCAGGCAGGGGCAGAGCCAATTCAGATCCTTTCCTTTCTCCTGTACAGAAAATCTCCCTGAGCGCGGCCGTGAGCCTGCATGGACAAACACTGCACAACCCCCCGCTGAGCTTTGTGACCGAGGAGCAGGCACTGCTGGTAGCAGGGAGCATCTAATGAAGGTGAAGAGACCGTGTTCTCTGCAGAACTCAGGAATTCCGTAGCAATAACACTGGCTGTTTCTAAGCACTTATTTTACATAAAACCACATGAAGGGATTGTGTTGCACTTAAGGGGCTTTGCCAGGAACCCCGCAGCAATGCATGTTAGCAGTACTGTGACCGAGCCTGTAACATTTCTGCACATGCCAATGTCATGGAAGAATTAAATGAAGGTTATTAAAGAGTTGTCTCCTCATCACCTCCATCATACCCAGCCCGACTTCCCTCAGCCCTGTGCCTCCTCTCTCCAGCATTCCTCTGGCCAAGTCCCTTTGGATGGGTTCTTGTCCTCCCATGCCCACAGCATGACATGCACACGAGGCAGGAGCAGGACAGACCCCAGAGCCACCTCCTTTGAGCAACCCACAAGGAGATCTGCCTTCACACCATGCCTTGCTCACAGGAAGCCTGAGCCGCTCTCCTGCTGCTGGAAGGGCAGCCACGTGTTTGCTGCTCAAGAGGAGCCCTGAGGAGCAGCAGCAGGAGCCTGTGAAAGCTGCTCCAAGGCCAGACCGTGCTGAATTCCTCCTGGGAACTGCTGGAGCTGAGGGACAGGTCCACCAGGAGCCCACGTGCAGCGTCCCAGCTGCACAGCTCTTGGCAGAGCCACACTCGCAGCTGTGTCGCATCCAATCGAGCACAGACTCAGCAGGCACAGAGCATCACACAGGGCCCTGTAGCCCTGACATCCCCAGTGCTCCCCGAGGTAGCCTTCAACCCAAGAGCCAACTGCCACTTCCTCTGGTGTCAGCTCACAGACCTGCTCCAGAGGCTCAGCTCCACATGGGCAGTGCCAGCACCCTGGGCACGTGCCAGGGTGCCCATGAGGAGTGTGTGTACAGGGACACCCCCGCACACGCGCAGCACCTCAAGGTGGCTCCAGCAGACCCTGTTGGCTCGCAGGGCTTTTCCCTTCTTCCCTTTGATGCCACCCCAAAACCCACCCCAGTGCTCCCCCAGCAGCTCAGCACCATTTGCTGGGTTTCTTCCTCATTTGTAGATGCACAGAAGTTCAACCTCAGAGCATCAAACTCTGTTTAACACCCCCCTCAATGCCAAGGAGAAGCCTCTTCCTCCCCTCTCCATCCTTTACCAGGAACAGCTCTATGCTCCTCACCAACTGCTCCAGAGCTACATAACCCCATTGAATCACTGCCTTGTTCTCCCCCTCAGTCCCACCAACACAGAAGCATCCCGAGGGCTGGGCCAGGTCCTGCCCCTTCTGCTGCACACCCTTGATGGGCAGCTCCCTGCAGGGAGCTGGGCACAGCCAGGCTCTGCTGGTTGAGGACTCAAGCAGTCAACCCAAGGAGCTGCCTCCTTCCCTGCCACAGGACCAGCCATGAGCACCTTTCAGCTCTGTCCCAGCTTCACGTTGTCCTACCATGGACAGCTCCGCTCTGTCAGGTTGCATCACTCTCCAACAGCTCTTGTGTGGTGGGAGCAATGGAGTACACAGCAGGATGGATTTCCACCCAAAGCCAAATGGGAGCTGCCAGCCTGGATGGGGGGGAAGATGTGGAGGAAAGATGGGAAGGAAAAAGCCAACAGAGAATGTGGCAAGCACCAAGCAGTGCCTTGAGAGGCTGGAGCAGGAGTGTGCAGCGTTACACAGGGGAGCTGTTCCAGGTTTGACTGGGGGGTTATCATTATGTAATGAAGAAGTGTTAGCAAATGAGGGCACCGTTGATTCAAAAGGGAGAATTAACAGGGCTGGCCCAAGGGCAGCGTGTCTGCAACTCACTGAGCCTGTCCAGAGAGCAACCATGTCAAACCTGGCACAGGAAGACTCAAGAGAGGATGGAGAAAAGCAGCCTTGGACAACCTCAGCTTGCATCTGAGTGAGCAGGTGATGAAGGGACAACAAATCAGGAGGAACTCTGCCAGAAGGATTCTGGGATCAAGGTGCAGAACGAGTCCACAAAGTTCCCATCCTGCCATCACAGGGAGCTGGTAGATCCACCTCGAACGGAGACATTGGTAGGAAGCTGCAGAGCAAAGTGATGAGAGGAATGGGTTTATGAATGAGCAGGAGGACACTCTCCTGTTCACACAGGAACCCAAACGATGCAAGAGCTGAAGTTCTCACTGAGGACTCCTGTAGTACCAGAGGACAGGAGAGTGGCAAATTCAATGGTTTGAAGCATTCCCATCACGTGGAGCCACACGAGCAGCACTTCCTTGTCCACACCAACAAAAATAGGTGGAAACTGGTAGAACCATGGCCCACGCAGGAAGATGTAGGGACATTGCAGCAACAATGCAGTCAATTGCAGTGCGAGATCTCTTGGAGACGCTGGAGATGAAACCCCTCTCCCATGAGCACAGGCAGGTACCCAAGGGAGGTGGCTGTGTGGCCTGGCTGGAAGGCACCAAGATGCTGCTATCCAGGTGGTGCCTATTGCTGTGTGCCGGGACATGGGGGATGCCACCATCTTCCAAACCCTCCTTACACCTCCCTGGGGGGTCTGATTTTGGCCATTGCACAGGGGCTTTGACACCACCTTTCCATGCCCTTCAGGAGCTGACAGATTGGTGTCTTTGCCCATCCTTCCTCACTTGTGTGGACCACCTGGATTTATTTACTGTCCTTTCTCTTATGTGGGTACCTCGTGACTCCAGCTTCATCTTCCCACCATCACCTCTTCAAGGCCTGAGATTTCATTTTGATCTCTTGTCTTCCTTTATTCTGTCATGAGCTGGAGATCCTCAGCACCTACAAACACGACCCGGGGGGGGTTTCCTCAATGGAAGGCAGAAGCCTCGGATACTCCTCTTGGAGCCGGTCCTCTTCAACATTTCAAATCCAGAAATCCAGCCTGGTTTGGGTTGGAAGGGACCTTAAAGCTCCTCCAGCTCCAACCCCTGCCACGGGCAGGGACCCCTTCCACTGGAGCAGCTTGCTCCAAGCCCCTGTGTCCAACCTGGCCTTGAGCACTGCCAGGGATGGGGCAGCCACAGCTTCTCTGGGCACCACCTTCATAATGAAGAACTTCTCAGTATCTCATCCAACTCTTCCCTCTTCCAGCTGGAAGCTGTTTCTCCTCATCCCATCCCTACATCCCTTGTCCCAAGCCCCTCTCCAGGTTTCCTGCAGCCCCTTTATGCACTGGAGCTGCTCTAAGGTCTCCCCTTCAGGAGCCTTCTCTTCTCCAGGCTGCCCCAGCCCAGCTCTCTCACCCTGGCTCCAGAGCAGAGCTGTTCATTTCTGTGATCATTTTGTCTTCGCACTCTTCAAGGCATCCACTCTCAGCCTCCATCCTGACCTCCTTCCCCATGTTGGTCTCTGTGGAGAAACAATGATGGGCTGGATGGGTCTTCAGACTAACCCAGCACTGACTACTTGGGCTTTCATGCCTTGCTATTGAAAGCAGTGCCACTTCCCTTTCCATTGCCAGAAGCCTTCTTCAGACTGCACTGCAGCTGCTCGACACCTCCAGATCCACAAGAGGACACATAGGGCTCTGCCCAATTCAGCCTTGGCTGATGCTCCTGCTGCCAAATGCGCCACTGGAAATGGGTCACACTTTGTCCACCCAAATCATGGCAGTGTAGGACACTCAGGGTCAGATCCACACGCTCCAAACCAGGCTGAAAGCTGAACCTGCACGTCCCCGATGACAAGTATCTGCAGATGCTTCTGGTCTTTGAGCACAGCTCCACTCACAGCAGCTGCCTGCAGCACTGGACCCGACAGGCTCCAGAGTATGCAGCTTCCAGGGTCACCATCCTTTGAGGCATCCAAAAGCCACGTAGATGTGGTGCTTGGGGACACAGGTTAGGGGTGGCTTTGCAGTTGGACTTGATCTTAAGGGTCTTTTCCAACCTAAATGGTGCTGTGGCTCTATAAATGGCTGGGGCAGCCCTCTGTGAAGATCAGTGTCCTACAGAAATGCCTGTGCTGTGGTGGATTCTCCTCTATCTGGAAAGTAACACATGGATAGTTCTGGCTGGATACTCTAAGTCACCGCGTTGGGCTGATGGTGGCATCATCACTGCTTCCTCATCCGTTCTGCCCAGCACTCACTGGCACCTCTGCTCTTCCAAACCAGGAGTCCCTAACTGGTCTCCCACTGATTCTTCCTGAATATTTACTTGGGAGTAAGGCTGAATTCACAGCCTAACTCTATGGATTCCATACTGCAAGCCATGGCAGGTATCTGCAGTGCTTTCCACCAGCTAAGCTGCACACAGGGGTGGCTGCCAATGCCTTTGACTCCTGGGGCTGCTGGCAGCATTCCCAGGACTCCATCTTTCCTGTCACAAAGTGCCAATGGATCACAGGAGTTGAAGGATGAGCAGTGCAGGGAAACAGAACCTGTGTTACAGATGATGTGTCCGGAGGAGGAGCAGGTCCAACAACCTGCAGCATCCTTGGCTGGTGCCAGTCCCTTCGCTCCTGCTGTTGGCGCAACCTTCCCACACCAAGGGGCTTCTCCAGGCTCTCAGTGATGCTTTCAACTCTGCATTGATGTTGTGCCAAGAAAGATACCTCCTTCTGTTCCATAGATGGCTTGGTTTTGCCTTGCTGAATCACATCAAGGGTTTCCCATTACCAGGAACCAGCCCATTCACTTTCTTCCACCAAATCCCACTGGGCACATTTCTTCAGAACCTTGAGGGGAGGATCTTCCTTCAGGATCTTCCCCTTGTCTCTAGAGAAAACTCAGGCTCATGGACCACTCTGTGAGGGTAAAAGAGGTTCTGGAACAGAGGTGGTGGTGTGTCATGGAATGTCCAACCTGGAATCTTCCCAGCAAAAGGAGAGGGTAAGCAAACTCGGATTCACTGATTTACTTGGAGATCATTGGAAAATAGAAGGAAGACTTTGTCAGAACACAGGACAGGGGAGTGATGGCAGTTGGAAGCGCATCACAACAGGGGACTGCAGCACAAGACATGAGGCTGCTTCTACCTCCTTCTGATTGCCACCCCGTTGTGTTGGATCTGGCTGGGATGGAGCTGATGTTCTTCCGAGCAGCCCACGGGGTGGTCTGGATGTGTGAGGGTGCCTGTTGGGAACACACCAGCAGTGTTCTGGTGCTTTGGCTATTGCTGAACAGCACTTGCATGACATCAAGACCTTCCCTCCTAGCAAACAGGCTGGGGATGGACAAGACGTTGGAAACAGACGTTCCATACAACATCATGCTCAGGAAATCAATGCTTAATGAATGGAGGATG